GGATTAAATTTGTATATTTTTGACCGCTGTCGCATATTCTATTGCTGAGATACAGTACAATTTAGATTTGATCTCTGGCAGGTGTACGGAATGGTCTGTTACATACAGAGGCATAGCATGACTTAAGGGCCTTTTTTGCAGAGTGGGTCACATATGAGAAAAAACACAATCATTTTGTGACACTTTGGATTCTTCAGAACTACACTGTCCCACTGTCCTGGTAAGTACAGAAGTACTGGTGGCAAAATGAAAACCAAACATGTTAGACAAAAAAAAAGACACATTGGAATTCAGTAGGTGTTCATTTTCGTTCGCATTTTAAGCAGGTAATTCTGACAAGTCCCTTTTCTTTTACCTAGTACAGTCATACAGCTCGAAGTCGGAAAGGAAGAAATTCCATACACCATATAAAACAGTGAACATGTACATGTATTTGAATATTGAATGGGGTGCACGAAGATTAGAGGAAATGTTGCAGCCTCCCACTCAACCTTAGCTTGCTACATCCAAAGAGAAATTGTTTAGCCTCATTAAAAATAGAACTTTAGACCATGTTAATGTCTAAGTATCCAATTGAAAATTTCCTCCTAGCCAATCTGTTCTACACTTACCATGCTCGGTCGTGGAGGTGGGCGGAGTTTTCAGCAAGTTTTGGGCATGGTCGATGAAGGCTAAGAACAGCTCTCCTCTTCCCAGGAGGAAAAAGTCCTTGAGTGTGTGCAGCTGGCCTACAAGATCTGATTCTTCAACCACTAACCTCCACAGGTGCTGCAATGAGAAATCACTCATTGGTCCATGTTTATCAGCTCTCCAGTGTCTCCTGACGACGGACTGAGCACGCAGTCTGAGACGTTGAGTATACTCCCGGGTTCTTTTCAGAATCACCCCATACTCCTAAGAGATATATTCCTTTGCATGGTGCTAGCGCAAACCTTTCCACTTATTGCTGTCTTCCATCATGAACAGCCTGAAATTCCATTTACCGGCTCTATTGACACTTTCACTTCAATATTTAACAGTAAGTATGGTACTTGAAATGAATTCGGCCCAAACATTGCTTCAAAGTGACGCTCATGATGTCCACGTCGTGCTCTTTTTCATCCTCAAATCACTTTAATCCACTGATTTCCCCATGCTTTTTGTTAGGAACAATACTATAGTAGCATGTATCAGCAACACACTCCAAGGAAACCACGCTTATCTACTGATATTAAACTTGCACCTTCCAATGCAATCCATTTCAAAGCCCTCTGATGTGGGGGGGTATTAAACATATCCCACGACTGGCCCAAAATAACATCGGGAAAGCAAGGATTAACAGAAACTGTCCACTACAAGTCACCAGATCAAGAAATGATTGACTATGTCAGACAATTATATGTACAAGAAATACATGTGCAAATGCTGGTGTACCTCGGCCACACAGGATCGGATTCCATCGATGGCATCTTCGAAGTTCTTGATGGAGAAGAGTGGTTCTTGCCTCAGCTGGTGGAATCTGCTCGCAAATATGTCCTCCTTGTCTCCCAACACCGAGTCTAGCAGAAAGTTATTTTGTGTCATAAAATGAATCATTGAAGAATGCAACAAATCACAGCTTCAAGTTATGAGTGTGGGTCGAAATACAAACTTGTCAATAAAATCAAATTGCTTCTAACCCTAACCTAACTGACAGCTACAACATAGTACCTAGAAGTAAAATGTGTTACACAGTACTGTGGCTTGTATGAGTATATGACCTTATTGGTGTCTGAAGCCATAATATATGCCAGTGGGTTAGGTCCTCAA